GAATGCCTACCAAATCACCCTCAGTTTACACCTCCTTGGCAAATAAAAAATCCCAGATGTCTTACCTCGCTTACCGCATTTGACAAACACTCAACGAATACTCACCTTATCAAAACAAGTCTTAGCAATATCCTCTGCAAATTCGATGGGTACTTACAAATTTTTACTGACGCCTCAAAGCTAGATGGAAGAACAGGAGCTGCTGTCAGTACACCCACATCTAGTAGTATGTACAAGCTTCCTTCAGAATCTTCTATTTTTTCAGCAGAGCTGTTCGCTCTGTACCAAGCATTAATATTTGCTAATTCCTCAACTTCTCAAAACTTTGTGGTTCTCTCAGACTCTCTTAGCTCTATATTCGCCTTACAACGCATCTTTTCCAACAACCCCTTGATCAGCAAAATAAAAGAGGAACTCTACTCTGCTCAGCTAAGGGGAAAAGACATCGTATTTATCTGGATACCATCTCACATAGGAATAAGCGGGAACGAGCAAGCAGACAAACTGGCCAAAGAAGCTGTGAATAGTGAAAGTGCCATACCGGTTCAATTATTATTGAGTAGTGACGTAAAATCGTTCATTAAAGCAAAAGTGTTCAGTGCGTGGGAATCTAAGTGGTCGTCTTGTTCTTCTAAACTCAGTGAAATTAAAAATAATGTGAAACCATGGTCATCACTCCCGCGAAACCGTAGTGATCAAATTTTACTAACCAGGCTACGTTTGGGTCATACACGACTAACACACAGTTATTTATTTAGCTCAAAAATAGAACCAAAATGTAGCCACTGCGACATCAAGTTGACGGTAAAACATATACTCGTAGACTGTCCTTTTCTTGCACCTCAACGTATTGAATCAAACCTCCCAGCTGGTCCAATATCTAACATTCTAGGTTCTGCGTGCGATATAAACAGTTTAAAAAGATTTTTGAAATCCATCAACATACTAAATTCTATTTAGTTATTCTTATATATTGTCATCTTTCTTTTGTATGTACTACACCAATTTGTAATCTTACAATTCGCTAATAACCTTTGTGGTTGATGCGACTTTTCTTCAAATAAAAAAAAAAAAAAAAAAATTGTGTTTATAATGAACTACTTTGACTTTTTATAAAAACTATATCCGGTTTTTTTAATAACAAAAACATTGTCATGTGCTATGCTGGTTATCATATTATATTTTTATTTTTCAGTAATTTAGTGTGTGATATAGTGCTTGTTATGTTCAAAATGAAACACATGTAATTACATGGTAATTCTAAATAAATTAAACTTGTTAAAAATGTGTTTTATTTTTCAACTAATTTTATTTTTCAGTTAAAACAAGTGACATTTTCAATTTTTCAACATTTACCTACAACAAAAATTCACTAAACTTATTGTTTGTTTAGTAGTTGTAAGTAAAAGTTGTCAAATAGGAAAATGTTACTTCAAAGTGCTTCAAATTCTAAATTATTAAGCCCGCCAATTTTTAAATCGCTCTAATTAGTAATGTTCTACTTTATCGGCGGAAACTGACAGGTGTAGTTCAACCGTAAGCGCTTAGCGCGCTACTGTCGAGGTCAAGCAAACTTGTTACCAACTATTTACATGGAATCCAACCCCCGTGTAGCGCCCTTTTTCTAACTTTGGCATTTGCAAATCGATCTATTAAATTAGAGATGTCTAAGTTAGATGCCATTTTACTTTCTATAGATAAAATTGATAAATCGCGCAATCGCTGCTGACTTTTGTAGATCGCATATAGTCTTTTATCATTTTAAGCTTACTAAAAGATCGTTCCACAGAAGCAACTGTTACAGGAAGGGTAAAAAATAAAAGAAAAACCGTATAAACCTCGCAAAAGTCTGCTTCCATAAACGCATAATTCTTAATAATAAATTCAAAGAGTTGTCTTATGGACATATCTTCTTTAAGGTCATGTTTCATTAAATCTAAAATCATGAGAAACTGATTTACAAAACAATGAGATAAAACTTTCGGATATTTTTCGCAAAATTCTTCACATCGGTGTAATATTTCTTCTGTTGAGCTTACAATTAAATAACGCGGTTCTAAAAATTCAAAAGTTTGTTTCACGGCGAGCATAGCAGAAAATCTTCTAGTAATCTGATTGCGAATAATGTCGATGACAAATTAATAAACATTAATCTTAAAAAACTCCTCGCTGCTTTCGAAACGATGATCAGAAGAAAGTTCATCAAAGTGTTTTTTTAATTTTCTTTGCCTTTTTGCCTCAAATGTCGGTTCAATACTTAATTTGGTGGCCAGATCTATGGCTTCAGATTTTATATTGTCGTAAGATTTTGGGTCTCTAAAAGTAGCTATATGTTCACCTGCACGGTCTAAAACTGTCGTTACTTGATTCAAATCAATGTCAACTTTTTGTAAAGTTTTTGATGCTAAATTAATATGATTCAAAGTTCTAAACATAAAAATCGTAACAAAAATAAATTCAAAAGTACTCATTCTTTTTTTTAAAGAAGAAGCAAGCATCCGCAATTTCATATTTTTTCGATGATTTTAGTTCAATCTCAGTAAGAGCTTTTAAAATATCATATAATCGTAATTTAACTGCTAAAACCGACTGTATACGCCCTGACCAACGGGTTGGATTGAGTTTTTTTAATGTTATTTGTGACTCGCCGGTAAACGATGACAAAAGGTCCCACCGTTTAATACTATGTCCAAAAAAACTATATAAGTCTTGAAGTACTGCGAAATATGCGGAGATTTCACTACAACCTGATATGGCATCATTTATTACTAAATGAAGATTATGGTCAGCACAATGTATATATTCGGCGTTTGGCTGTATTTGTTTAATTTTGGCTTGTACACCGTTGTATGCACCACTCATCACGTTAGCACCATCGTATCCTTGACCGACGCAGTTACTCAAAGGTATGTTTAGATCTTTTAATATACCCAAAATTGATTCAGACATACCTTTGGCAGATTGATCTTGTAGATCATAAAACCCTATGAAGTTTTCCTTTATTTCAAAACCTATAGCTATGTTATTTAAATCTCTAATTATTTGAACAGTTCTTATAACAACGCTTAACTGATCTGTTTTTGCTATGTCTTGCGTGGTGTCTAACATGAGAGAAAAAAACGGAGCTAAATTTATACTGGAAATTATTTTTTCTAAAACAAATTTAGAATAACACTGAATAAGTTCATTTTGAGTCGTTTTACTTAAATACCGCACAGAGCCTGAAGGCATGGTTACAACTTGTTTCATAACAGGATCATAGTGTGATAATAACTCTACCATTGTTAGAAAATTGCCACTTAAGTTGTCGCTTCCAAGCTTTTCACGATGTCCGCGAAAAGCTAAAGAACTCTTAGCTAAAGCTAACGTTATACGAAACAGTCTTTCTAAAACTTGCTTCCAAAAAGAAACTTCATATCTTGCCTTTTTTTCTAATTCTTTATCGACAGTCTGGTTAGTTTTCCATAACTCAAAAATACTGCAAGACTGGATATGCATTTGAGCTGTGCTGTGCTCAACTATTCTAGAAGAAATGTGCTGCCAGTCTCTTAATCCTCTTCGCCACTGATTATCACCAGAACCAGAAGAAAACAGCCAGCAAGGAACACAATAAGCAGCATCTAGAACTTTTGAATAGCAGAGCCATGTGCGCGGAACTACACCATATTGCGTTACTGATGAGTAATATTTTTCACTAAAGCGCCTGTTTCCTTGTTTTGGATCTTTTGGGTATGGACCTTTGGGTTTGTTAGCAGGCTGACTGATAATAAATCGCTTATCATCATCACAAAGTTCATTATTGTAATGTCCTAAATCTGTAGATTTTTCAGACGTTCCACCAGTTTCAATAACAGTCGTAAAAGAAAAGTTTTCCGACTCGTTAGAATTATTTTCTTCTTCTAAATTAACAATTTGCATTTGTATCTCAGGTAGTGGTATGGTTTCTCTTTGTGATGTCTCAGTCTCAATAATATTCGCTTCGGGATTTTCTTGTAATGAAGGTGACAAACTCGAGCTCTGATCGTTTTTTGGGATAAAGTATTTATCGATCTTAGGCAATTTTTTAGATTTATCAAGATTTTCTTGTTTCAATTTACGCTTTTCTGCTCCAATCTTATACTTACGCTTATCCATTTTATATTTGTCTACCTTACCAGTGGTAGGCCACCACCTTTCAGTACAATTTCGTTTTTTTTTGACAAGCTAAAATTAAAATTAAATAAAAATTGCAGGTGCTAAAATAATAATAGAAAAAATCGGTTTACCTTATTTTTTCTGCGTTTCAGAAATTAAGATGCACGTTAGCACGTTTATTTACTTCCAAATAAAACAAAAAGTCACAACAAATAATATTATAGCCACTCAGCCACTCACCAGTAAATAGTAATCAGTGAAATGGACACATACACATCTCACATCTAATATGCCGACAAAGGGATTTACAGAGAATGAAAACATCCGCCGGAGCGACATCGATCATCGATCGTGTCAACAATAATCAAAATTCTTACAAAAACGGAATAAAAATCTTTATTATTAGGAACAGTTAGTCTCTATTCTTTAATAGATGGCGTTACTAGTGTTATTATATATTATTTAAACAGCCGTAATTTCAATTTACAAACTGTAATTGATTGGGTATTTTAGAACTTTGTGTACGGGAGAGTTGGCCGGGGGCCCCCCTCACCTCGGGGCCCCTGTGCACTGCACCGAACTGCCCGGTGATATGTCCGCCCCTGCTATTGAGATGGTAGGTGCAATTCAGAACTGAAGAAAAGTTAACTAGGAGCGAAAAGAACTATACAGAATGACAAATTTTATACACTATGAAATTAAATAGATTTTTTTTCAATTCTGATAGCAATTTTTACAAATTTTAATTTCCAGTTTTCTGACTGGTACTTCTAGTAGTAATAGACTTTTTTCTTTCTTTTTCTTTATTTTTTGCGGTATTTGTTGACTTTTCTGTTTATCCTCTTTTCGTTCTTCCTTATGTTCCGCTACTTTTTCTTCTTTTTTTCTCTGTTTTTTGCTCCTTTGTCCTCAATATCGTTCAATTCTCTTATTTCTTTATTATTATCTTGATAGAATGTAGATAAATTATTTTCTCTTGCTGGTGTTTGTGGTGCGCTATTTGATTGTTGTATTACGATAGAATTGTAGCTTCCTTCCATTTGTATAGTATCTTCTACACGATAAGCTGTATTATTTCTGTGTTTTTCTCCTTTTATGTAGCAATGATCCTGTGTTGTCTGTCTTATACCTCGTAGGTGGTTTCTTAGAATTTTGTTTCTTTCCTGTTGAGTTTTTGTAAGATCTGGAGAAATAGTAGTATTGGTCCCCTTTAGTTTCTTGATATTTCTTAATATGTCTATTTTTGTAAAAGTTGATACAAATTCAACTTTGATGGGACTTCTTTCTAATTTTCCAAGTTGATAGAAGTAATATCTGATCGTTTTATTTGAAGGCCAAGTATACTATTTAGATAATTACAGATATTTTTCACAGAAAATTCTTTCAATGTTAGTTTAAGTTCAAAAATTACGACGTTGTTTTTTTGCTGTTTCTCTCCAACAGTTCTATTTTGTGTTGAAGTTCTAAATTTTCTTTCTCTAATTTTTTCACCTTTTCATTCACTAACTCTAGTTTCATCAAAATTTTAACTTCGCTAGCTTCAATGGCATTTCTAATTCTGTTTTCTATTTGGATCAAGTCATCTCGTAGTTGTTCCATAATATTTGAAAGTCTGGCAGCCGTGTAAACTTCTTAGTAGGTGCACAGAAGGTTTATTATGGTCCAAAGGTCAATTTTAAGGAGACGAATACAGTACTGAGTACAATTAAACTTTATTACATCGACTTTTCCAGTAATTTTTACTTTTACTGTAGGGAACACTTGCGTGTATAACTTTTATTTAATTTTTTGAATTTTGTATATGAAATTTTCGATTTAATCCACAAACTTTATAAGATACACTCAACAACGTTGCTAAGCTCTCGATAAATGGTCTATGTCATCTATATCATTAAATTGTGTTGCATAATTTAAACATATCGAACATTCGTGTTTGGCCAAGCATTTTTTTATTAAATAACCTGAGATATATCTATACAAATTTTTCTGTAATTTATCGCATGTTTTATAATCATTTTCAATAGTGTCTTGAGATTTGACAGATTTGTCACTCTCAGTTGTCGATTCAGTTTCGTTTTGGTTATGTGGTATGTCAGCTGCTCTAATAATTTTTGCAGCATCTTCACAATTTTCGGTTCCTGAATTGATTATTTTCATGCAGAATAACTTTCGAAAAGATCGGATAAACTGAATTGGAGTTGGGTTGACACAATTTCCATTTTGCTGCCTAACTCACCAAAAAAAATGTTCTAAGCAGTCTTGCTGCGTTCTCCTGGTAAATAAAAATAGCGTTAATAGCTATTTTCCATCCTTCAATGCATTTTATTCCACTGGTGATATCAGTACCCTTTAAGTCGCGTACTAATAAATTGTCAAACATGATAACATTCTTGTAGAAAGGACTTTTGTTCTTCGGTTGTTTTGTAAGCATTTTGAAATAGCGTAGATCCAAAAAGATTTAATGAATTCAGGATAACGAAAAGGTTGTTTATTTTTTCCACAAATTCTTGCGTATCAGTGGCCTCTTGAGAAAGTTCTCCGAACCTTATATAAACAAGAAGTCCTTCGGCCACTGTCTTACTAAAAATTTGGGTAGCGTATTTTACTTTCATCTTTTCAAAGTTGTTTGGACGAATGTATGACTCCGTAAGCTTGGGTGCCGCTCTAACTTGGTAACATTGATCATGATTGAAAAACTGTTTTATAAATTTCCAACTGATTACATATCCGTCAATTTCAAAAAGGTGTTTAAGCAAATTATTTCGAAGTGATTTTATTAAATGTGGGATATCAAATATATAAACAATTTTTGTGTTTATATGATAAAAATACGGAGTTTCTGTTGTTACTCCTAACATTTTTGACAACTGTGCATTATTTGTACTCATATCCGACACAATCGCTGTTACTTTTAAACCAATTTTCAATGACCGTGAAATCACATCATGTAATACGTTTTTTAATATTTTACCAGAACAAGTGGAATTGACAAAAAATAGGCTAACGGCTGTTTCCAATTTGCTGATAGTCCTCTCACCATGACCACAGTTGCATTTAGAGCCGGCTTAAAATATTTTTCTCCATTCCCATATCTTCAAACCCAATTATTCTATCCATATCACCTTAATGCTAATTTCGTCTACACATATTATACAAAGTTTATCTATGCTTCGGAAATTACTAATTTTTTTGCAGAGTTTTGAAAACAATGTCGTTAATTCCAGCCGAAATTTTAATATGCTCTATATAGGAAACTAGCGCCTAAAATTAGGAGCTGGACATAATCAAGTTCAGGGGCGAAATAAATAGGGGACCCTAGGGCGCTTGGATTTTTTTAGACAAGATGGCGTTGGCTTGTCGAATTTTGAAACTATGATTGTGCATATACTGGTTATGACGCGCATGTACTTGATAGCACTAAAAAATTGGAGATCGCTCAGAAAGATTCATACATCTACGTTCTGCGAAATTTTTTGAAAATGAGTGAAAAGTTATTTTCATTTTCAAACGAAAGGTTTTAAATAATTCAAACCACAAATTAATAATGTTTGCGGATCTAATAACAACAGATATGACTGATAACAACAAAAAAAGAAAAAAATTCAAATTTGTCCGGTTTGCAAAATTATTCGGCTGTGAAATAATTTTTCATATGTTAATTCAAACTTTTTCGATTGTGAGAACCGCGAATTTAAAGTGTTTGCAAATTTGTTGATTACTTATGACAATTATAAGCGCAAAAAAATTAGAAAAATTTAAATTTCTTCGATTTGCAAAATAATTGGGAGGTAAAATAATTTTGTTATTATAAAATGTAGTCTCCCCTGTCATCTGAACCGCGAATTGAAGGTGTTCGCAAATTTGTTCATTACTTATCACAATAATAAGCGCAAAAAAAATGAAAAAATTTAAATTTTTCCAGTTTGCAAAATAATTGGGAGGTAAAATAATTTTGTTATTATAAAATGTAGTCTCCCCTGTCATCTGAACCGCGAATTGAAGGTGTTCGCAAATTTGTTCATTACTTATCACAATAATAAGCGCAAAAAAAATAAAAAAAATTCCGGTTTGCAAAATAATTGGGCGGTAAAATAATTTTGTGATTATAAAATTTAGTCTCCTCTTTAATCTGAACCGCGAATTGTAGGTTTTCGCGAATTTGTTGATTACTTACCCGACTTATGAGCGCAAAAAATTAGAAAAATTTAAATTTTTCCGGTTTGCAAAATAATTGGGCGGTAAAATAATTTTGTTATTATGAAATGTAGTCTCCTCTTTCATGAGAACCGCGAATTGAAGGTGTTCGCGAATTTTTTGATTACTTACATGACTTATGAGCTCAAAAAAATTAGAAAAATTTATATTTTTCCGGTTTGCAAAATAATTGGGCGGTAAAATAATTTTGTTATTATGAAATGTAGTCTCCTCTTTCATGAGAACCGCGAATTGAAGGTGTTCGCGAATTTCTTGATTACTTATCACAATAATAAGCGCAAAAAAAATAAAAAAATAAAAATTTTTCCGGTTTGCAAAATAATTGGGCGGTAAAATATATTTGTGATTATAAAATTTTAGTCTCCTCTTTAATCTGAACCGCGAATTGTAGGTGTTCGCGAATTTGTTGATTACTTAACCGACTTATAAGCGCAAAAAATTTAGAAAAATTAAAATTTTTCCAGTTTGCAAAATAATTGGGCGGTAAAATAATTTTGTTATTATAAAAATTAGTCTCTCCTGTTATCTAAACCGCGAATTGAAGGTGTTCGCGAATTTGTTGTTTACTTACCCGACTGATAAGCGCAAAAATTAGACAAATTTAGATTTCTCCGGTTTGCAAAATAATTGAGCAGTAAAATAAATTTTCATTTGTTCATTGAAACTTTTTCGATAGTTTCAACCGCGAATTCGAGGTGTTAGCGAATTTATTGATCCTTAATCTCACTGATAAGAGCAAAGATCTCAAAAATCTCGAATTCTTTCGAACTGTAATATTATTCGAAGGCTAAACTCTGTATCATAAGGTCAGGTGAACAGATTATACAGAAAAAATTATTTGAGTTCAAAATCTTATTTCAGAACAATTAATTTGATACACTAAATTTTGAAAACTTTAACATTTTTCATTAAATTTTCCCTTGTACACTATATGATAACATTAATTTAAAAACAAAACATAAGGCATTTATATTTTTTAGTTTCTTTGGCTTTTAGTTCTGAAGTACTAGTAGATGTAATTGGCCGGTTCTGGAAATGAGAAATAGGTACAGAGAGAGGTAATTGGGTAATTAGTAATTATCCTAAGTACCCCCCACCCTTCGCGCAATTAGCAAGTACCTCCCAATTACATCATGTACTGTAATAAGTGCAATTGCACAGTAAGTACCACCCAATTACATCATGTACTGTAATAAGTGCAATTGCATAATAAGTACCTCCCAATTACCCACAGGGTATACATCTCATTACTCCATACATATCAAAGTGTAAGTACACCTTAGGTAGTAATTACTGTGTGCAATGTAGTGTGGTGAATGTTATCTAAGTGCCTCCTAGTGATTACTGTTGGCAGCACGTCCTTAGCTCTCGGCCGGCGTGCCTAGAGTGCTTAGCCTGCGTTAGAGACGATCGTGCTTAACCGAAATATCGAGGTAAGGGACTAAGAAGGGGTAGCCTGCGCCAGAGATAGACGCGCAATTAGCAAGTACCTCCCAATTACAGCATGTACTGTAATAAATGCAATTGCACAGTAAGTACCTCCCAATTACCATATACACGCCATACTGTAATGATTGTAATTGCATAATAAGTACCTCCCAATTACCCACAGGGTATACATCTCATTACTCCATACATATTAAAGTGTAAGTACACCTTAGGTAGTAATTACTGTATGCAATGTAGTGAATGTTATCTAAGCTCCTAGTGATTACTGTTGGCAGCACATCCTTAACTCTCGGCCGTCGTGCCTAGAGTGCTTAGCCTGCGTTAGAGACGGTCGTGCTTAACCGAAATATCGTGGTAAGGGACTAAGAAGGGGTAGCTGCGCCATAGATAGACGCGCCCAACTGAAATATCGAGGGAGGAGCTAAGAAGAGGTGGTGGAATTTTCTAGAGGATATATATATAGTAGGACCCGCATCCAAATCCGTACAAATATCGTTAGCTTTAAGCCTATCGGTAGTTCTATCATCTAATATCGAAATAATCATAAAAATAATAAACATGTATAAGTGCAATTGTGGTTTAACATATACAAGGGTAGATAATTTACGTCGACATCAAAATAAAAGTTGTAAGCTGATATCTAACCGCATCGGCGAATCATCCGGAGGTACGAAGAGATCTACTACTCCCAGTAATGATGTTCCACCTGAAAAAAAAGCCCGGGTAATGCGAGTTCCACAAGTTCATACGCATCGCATCGTAGACTCAAAGGCCCATAATAGAAGATGTGAATCATGTAATGTAGATGTCCCTACCAATCAGATGACGTCGCATATGAGGAGTCTTGGGCATAAAGAAAAAGCCTGTGCAATTCATGCCGATGGTATATATTTAATTAAGAGCGCGTTTAAGTGCAGAATCGCAACTTACAGGCT